TTTCCTATGCATACCTAGCGAATTCTATAGAAAACAGATTTCTGTTTCTTCTTGTTTCTGATTTTTACAGATTTTTGTAGCTTTACTACATTTTTTTATAGCAAATGTCCAATAGAAACTATTCTATAGAAAAAATAAGTAAGATTTCGTTTTCGTACACAACTCTTGAGACAATTTCCATGTGAATTCCTTGACATAAATTTTTCACGTATTTGCCACTCTATACTGACAAGCTTCTATAGAAAATATTTCAGTAAAATAAATTGTATAGAAAATTGAATTCTATAGATTTTTTTCCTGTAGAATATTTCCTCCTGAACATTCCTATAAAAATGGAGCTAAGGTGCGGAATTTGTCAGTAGAATCGACCAAGAACTCATAGTAAGTTCAATAGTAATCGAATAGAATTTTCTATCGAATTCGCTGGACTTTTTCATGAAACTTTTCCGTACGTGTTCAATTGTCATTGCTCTTTCTGTCGGCGAAATTCTAGGGTACGAAGCATGGTCCACCTTTCTGGAACTCGGAGAGTTGTTCTTTACCTTGCTGAAGTTAAAGCGACAGAGTGAGGGAACTTTCACACCTATGTGGGAGTATTTTAAGGACTTCCAGTTTCTCCTTATTCCAGAAGAAACCCCTTATGAGACTCCTAGTGCAAGTGACGATGAGGAGCAGAGAGCTTCTATAGAAAATTAGTCCCAGTAATTAACTAAGATGAAATATTTTAAAGAATTTCGTTCTCTGCACTCCGTGTTTTTCATTCCCAATACATATATTTTCAGATTTTACTAGTTTTATTTATATTGAGATATTTCATGGTTTAATAAGATCACTAGGGTTCCCACAATACTGAAAATACCATGTATCTACTGTAGGATGTTTGTATATTATTGCTGAGCGGAAATCTGAGTTTTTTTTGCCTCTTCTTGGTCGACGTTGGAGATGATGCTGTATCTCTTCTGGCTTGTCGGAAAATTATCCTCAACCCACAAGTGTCATTTCATTTTATTAAGTTGAAGGATTGGAATAAGGAAGTATTCCACGCATGAAAAAATTTTGTAGAGATAACAATTAAAAAATTCCATAGAAAATTCTCAATCAGAAATTCTACTAGTTTTTGACAAATTCTGTTAAAACTATTTTTTTATAGAGAAAATCGGGAAAATCGTAATTCTGTACAACTCTTTCTATTCTGGAATTTTCTATAGGAATTTATGGGCATGAATTTTCTAAGCTTTCGAATTTCCAAAGCTTCACTTCGGGTTTCTACTGAAAAAATCACACGAAAATACTTGGAGAATTTGAGTCGTGGAGTTTCTATAGAAAATATTTAAATAGAATAAGCTGTAAAAAAAATTCCATTCTATTGATTTGTTTTGGACAGTTTTTCCTATCGAACATTTCTATTGAAAAAAGCACACACATAAACTGGAGAATATTTCATTAGAATCGGTCTAAAACTAATAGAAAGTTCCATAGAAATACAGTAGAATTTTCTAGCGAATTTTAATTTTTAAACAGTAGTAATTTCAATTTGCTATCTATTGTACTTATGGGTTTATTTCATGAATGATGAAGTTTACAAGAAAATTATGAAATATCTTTTATGATACAAGTAAAAAAAAGGGAACTTTCTTGTTCGCTTCGCGCACAAGAAACTGCCTTTTTCTCACCAGTATCATAAACTATTGTACGATACACATGAAAAAAAGTAATTCCTGACGACTGTGATTAGAGACCTCACCTTCGGCTCGGCCTGTAACACTCACACTCATCAACAACTACTTTTTTTCACTTGGATCGTAATATACTATTTTCTACACTGTTAAAAAAATCCCATTTTTATCAATTTTAATAATTTTGACTTTTTCAGGAGAAAATATCAAGACATTTCCTCAGCACACATGAAAAAATTCAATAGGAAAACCTTGTGCTTTCTTTAAGAAATTCGATTCTTTTTTTACGTCAATTCTATTGGATATTCTATAAGAAAAGTAAATAGATTTGTATTTCTGTTTGAATTTTTATCGTGAAATTTTGCCTGCTGAATTTTTCAGGCGTGAATTTTCCAAGTTTTTTTCATTGAAATTTTGTTAAATAGAACGAAAAGAAATATAGCTTTAAAGAACTTGGAGAATTCACACCTAAAAATATCGATAAAAAAAAATTAAATAGAATAGAAGAGAACAGCATAGACTAGAATAGAATAGAATCCTATTTACTAAAGATGAATGAAACGTGAAGTCATTTTATATCGAAATATCTCGAAACTGCCTGACCGCTAATCCTTAATTCTGATTGGTCAACATGTGACACGAAGTTATTCACAAAAAAAACACGCGGCATTTTCAAATTCTTCAGTGGTAAATTTTTTTTTCACGTCATATATATATATATATAATATATTTATTTCACATGTATATATATCATCGGTGAAATTAATAAATTCTGTCCTTTTATGGCGACAGATTATTTTAAAAAATTAAAGATAATTAATTGAAAATGAAAAATTCTTTATAGATCCTTTTACTCTACTTCGCTATTCACTTCAATCATTAGTCGAATTCTCTTTGATTCATTATCAATATTTATAAGGTATTCATGAGAAACTGAAATTCAATGAATTCCATTTCTTCATATCAACAAATGAATAAGTAGATAGGCTAGGCGGGTTCTGGACCAAGCAGTATAGCGCTATAGGGGGCAGCATGGTCGCGCTATGTTCGAGAAGGATGACGTCATCGGTGACTCATCGAGAACAATTAGTGGTGGGGGTATTCTGTTAATATCGTGGTGGGTTCTGGACCAAGCAGCACCAGCGCCAGTAGGTGGCAGCACGATCGCGGTATGTTCTAGAAGGATGACGTAATCGGTGACTCATCGAGAACAATAAGTGGTGGGGGTATTCTATAAATCCTGTTGAGACTCGCATGTAATAGGATACCCTGATAGGTTATTAAAGTGGATGATGTAATTTCAGATTGATCTTGAATATTCTAGAATGTTGTTGAATGTTCCAAGATGAATCGTACATTACTAGTTGGAGTGGGGTGTGTGTGCTACAAAACTACTACCACCAGCAGGTGGCAGCATGGTCGCGGTATGTTTTAGAAGGGAGAGCTGGTTGGTGAGTCATACAGAACAACGGCTTATTGATGCATGAGGTGGGGTGTATTCTGTAACTTCGCACGAAACTTGGGTGTAATTGGATCGCATGATGAGTCACCGGTTCTCGAGCGTTCTCGATGAATCATACACGTTTTTTTGGGGTGGGGATCTGCTATAAAACTCCCGCACATCATATGATCCACAATCAATTTGAATCCAAGCTCAAGCAGTTGAGATCGGTTTTATACGCTAGTGAGAACTATTGAAGTAATGTGTATTCATCGTGATTGTAAGAAAGCTGGTGAGGGAATCTTCACGAATGAAGATATAATCATCCAGGATCATTTCGATCCAGAGTATCACGCGTTTGCAAAATATCTGGCTAGTGATTTACATTGTTTGTGGGAGAATCAACAAGTGCTGAAATCAGAAAGACGTTCGGCGAAGACTGATTGCTCTCACTGTATAACTCGATATAAAGATCTGTCATACATAATTGAGAGGATTGAGAATTTATCTAAATTGAAGAAATTCTGTGAGGAGCTCAGAGGGAAGATACCGCAAGAGGGGAAAGAGTCAGAACAACTAACAGTTAATGAAATCCATTGGTTACACTCAGTTCCACCATACTCTCACAATGAGAGTGAGCTTGTGAGTCGATCGCTGATTGCTGCACCAGCCGACCTCCCACCGCTGGCTGGATTCCTCGAGAAATTACGTGCAAACTATAAAGATGTATGCTCACAATTCAGGCCCAATGAGCCAACAAAGTGTCATTCCTGTAAACATTTATTGACTGATCTTGATATTATTAAGAAAAATTTCCAAAATTTGTTAGATGCTATCAAACTTCTGAGCTCTACGTATGACATTTATTATCCTCATCATAATGATGAGTCTGTTGATTTAGTGTAAAATGGAAACAGTGAAGAAAATTGTTGTTGGGATAAATGAGCAAAAGCAGAAGATGAAAAAAGTCAATTTCCAAGCAGAAGTACGAGTCTACTTGATGTTGCATTGGGATTATGCATACCGAGCCGCTCATCAGAGTCCATGGGAAGATATAGCTCGAAACCATGATCGATTNATTGGTCCTTGAAGGATTGCGTTGATATCAGTTTTAGATCTTGTAATGATGAGCTCATGTTTAGCATTTACAATCACTTTTTGATAATCTTCAGCAAAGCCAAGAATGAGGCTCAATGGTACTGAAATATCAAAATATCCGTGAGCGTCGGTTCNCTGAGCTCTACGTATGACATTTATTATCCTCATCATAATGATGAGTCTGTTGATTTAGTGTAAAATGGAAACAGTGAAGAAAATTGTTGTTGGGATAAATGAGCAAAAGCAGAAGATGAAAAAAGTCAATTTCCAAGCAGAAGTACGAGTCTACTTGATGTTGCATTGGGATTATGCATACCGAGCCGCTCATCAGAGTCCATGGGAAGATATAGCTCGAAACCATGATCGATTTGTTACGTATCCCCCTTCGAACCCTTTTAATTATATCCAGTCTGAAGGATGTCATGGAACAGAACCAAAAGGACGATCATCTTGAAGTCAAGTCCGATGCTCTATTATTATTATTCAGAGATATCTTGGTCGATACACGTCTGTCTCTGGGCTTGTTTCTGATATTTAATAAACCGCCCCAACCATTTTATTAATTGTGTTGTGTGTCTTTCTCCGGATATAACAGATTTGAACGTAGAATAAGATTATCTGAAAGTATATTGAAGCCGATATTATCAGAACAACATAGACAAGCTATACTTAATACTCGTTTCAAATAGTTATTATAGAGTAAATGTAATAAGGACAGATGCAACAACAATAATAAAATTCTTATTTGAGATATTAAAAAAAAATTTATTCATTTATAGTGTACATTATTTATTTTTTTTAGATCTCTCCTCGCCTATTGATCCATAACGTCCTGAATATACTGATCCATTGTACGCTGTACTTCCTTTGAGGGATGTATCCCTTTGTCCGTTTTGGTTGTTAGAGTATGATCTCGAATAATCAGTTTTTGTCTTATCCATTTTGATGAAGTAGCTGCTCCAAAAGTTTGTCTGATACTGATGGTCATTTTCAAACATCATGATATTTATAGTTTCATTTGTTTACATTAATTTTTTAACCCCACCACTGATGGGATTGTATTCAACAATTCGATCATGGAGGATGAGGCAGTAAGCTGATGTGTTAGGTGGGAAAGGGGTAGTAGATTCGAACTCCAAACGAATGTCAACTGGGCCACTGTTCAAGTACTCATTATGTTTTGAGCAATCAATAACAAACAATGGAGCTTTCCCCAAAAATTCCGATCTATTCATCAATGGCTCCGCTTCTTTGCCATAATAAGAATCTTGGAAGTTTACAAACATATTGTATAATGTAGAATATTGATTATGATCAATATCAAGATTTAAATTCCCATATGGATAACTTTGCGAATTTAGGAATAATTTCACATCACGCATGTTACAATGATCGAAGCGGCTAGCATTAGCTGTTAGGGTATTTCTTCGCCCTGTTTGGAATCCTAGAATAATATATCGTGGTTTCTCCAATTGATTCGATGTTTTCACCACCCAAACATGCTTCGAAGCGGCAGGGAGCAAGGGGTACTCATACAACTCCAAAGTGCGGAAATCCATCGTGATAGGTGTATCTTTTGCGATGAAATTGAGCAATTTAATCTTACGCTCATCAGATACTTTAACATAAGGAATTAACCATTCCATCTTCTGCAGAGTAATCTTGTAATTCTCCGCAGGATTGTCCGCAGTGATTGGTCCTTGAAGGATTGCGTTGATATCAGTTTTAGATCTTGTAATGATGAGCTCATGTTTAGCATTTACAATCACTTTTTGATAATCTTCAGCAAAGCCAAGAATGAGGCTCAATGGTACTGAAATATCAAAATATCCGTGAGCGTCGGTTCTGGTCTCAGCACTTGCCATATCATCGTTTTTGACCCAACCAGCATTTTCTAACAAAAACCATTGGTTAGGGGTTTGTGATACATAGTTTTTCATGAGACTCGNTTTGAACGTAGAATAAGATTATCTGAAAGTATATTGAAGCCGATATTATCAGAACAACATAGACAAGCTATACTTAATACTCGTTTCAAATAGTTATTATAGAGTAAATGTAATAAGGACAGATGCAACAACAATAATAAAATTCTTATTTGAGATATTAAAAAAAAATTTATTCATTTATAGTGTACATTATTTATTTTTTTTAGATCTCTCCTCGCCTATTGATCCATAACGTCCTGAATATACTGATCCATTGTACGCTGTACTTCCTTTGAGGGATGTATCCCTTTGTCCGTTTTGGTTGTTAGAGTATGATCTCGAATAATCAGTTTTTGTCTTATCCATTTTGATGAAGTAGCTGCTCCAAAAGTTTGTCTGATACTGATGGTCATTTTCAAACATCATGATATTTATAGTTTCATTTGTTTACATTAATTTTTTAACCCCACCACTGATGGGATTGTATTCAACAATTCGATCATGGAGGATGAGGCAGTAAGCTGATGTGTTAGGTGGGAAAGGGGTAGTAGATTCGAACTCCAAACGAATGTCAACTGGGCCACTGTTCAAGTACTCATTATGTTTTGAGCAATCAATAACAAACAATGGAGCTTTCCCCAANTTAAACCCACGTTCTTTGCACGATCAATTTCAATGCCGTTGAGTTCATAACGAATCTCCTCAAATAAATGACAAATAGCATTATTCACGAGTCTTGTCCTCTGGGTTGCTGCTGTACCAGCTTGGTTTGTTAATCGTCCATGAATGTGCAGATGACTCTTACTAGGCAATAAACATAAATCCTGATGTTGCACTGTGATTGAAATTTCATCATTATTGCTGAATGTTGATGATGCAAAAGGTTGATGTGCATGCATCTCATAATGAGATACAGACTCATCGAACACTACAGACTTCTGGATTTTCAGAATGTCCTCCATAATGCACTAATGTTTCTTAACTTTATGATAACGTTGCACTCTAGGCTTCAAGTTCAAACTTCTCAGGAATTGAAGACTCTGACGTGTTAACGGGTTGCTGGGTCTTTGATGACTGATTGTTCTTTGACGTGATGATGTGCTTTTATAATTTTTTCCAATTTTGGTTCGGAACACAATCCCCATTATGTTCGTTTAACGTGAAGTCTTATTATGATTACTTCTCCTTGAAAGTTCACCAATTCACCGTCTTGATCTACTAATCTCAGCTGAAGATGATCTATTGCTTGCACAGTGATCGGAAGGTAAATGAGGTTTTTGGAACTTGAACGATCTTATATCCAGGCTGCACGAGGGGGAAGAATTCATGAATGATCTGTACTTTTATCCCATTGATATAAGCACCACCTGTAATATTACACTCTACACGCAGTGAATTTATCTTGAGAATTCTGACAGATAAATCAGATACATGTGTCTTATTTGGTGCTAGAATTCTATTAGTGAACCCCAATAATCTACCAATCGAATCAGATGGTACGAAATTAATAGTATGATCACTTTTGATTTCACTGCATAAAGTATTGTTATTTGGTTTTAAATCAAAAGACACACCTCTTTTTTGTAGAATCTTTTGCAAATAATTATGTATATCATTGATCTCATAACTACCTGGAGAAATGCTAGTTATATATTTTTTTTTCATTANCATTGTACGCTGTACTTCCTTTGAGGGATGTATCCCTTTGTCCGTTTTGGTTGTTAGAGTATGATCTCGAATAATCAGTTTTTGTCTTATCCATTTTGATGAAGTAGCTGCTCCAAAAGTTTGTCTGATACTGATGGTCATTTTCAAACATCATGATATTTATAGTTTCATTTGTTTACATTAATTTTTTAACCCCACCACTGATGGGATTGTATTCAACAATTCGATCATGGAGGATGAGGCAGTAAGCTGATGTGTTAGGTGGGAAAGGGGTAGTAGATTCGAACTCCAAACGAATGTCAACTGGGCCACTGTTCAAGTACTCATTATGTTTTGAGCAATCAATAACAAACAATGGAGCTTTCCCCAAAAATTCCGATCTATTCATCAATGGCTCCGCTTCTTTGCCATAATAAGAATCTTGGAAGTTTACAAACATATTGTATAATGTAGAATATTGATTATGATCAATATCAAGATTTAAATTCCCATATGGATAACTTTGCGAATTTAGGAATAATTTCACATCACGCATGTTACAATGATCGAAGCGGCTAGCATTAGCTGTTANCATAATGCACTAATGTTTCTTAACTTTATGATAACGTTGCACTCTAGGCTTCAAGTTCAAACTTCTCAGGAATTGAAGACTCTGACGTGTTAACGGGTTGCTGGGTCTTTGATGACTGATTGTTCTTTGACGTGATGATGTGCTTTTATAATTTTTTCCAATTTTGGTTCGGAACACAATCCCCATTATGTTCGTTTAACGTGAAGTCTTATTATGATTACTTCTCCTTGAAAGTTCACCAATTCACCGTCTTGATCTACTAATCTCAGCTGAAGATGATCTATTGCTTGCACAGTGATCGGAAGGTAAATGAGGTTTTTGGAACTTGAACGATCTTATATCCAGGCTGCACGAGGGGGAAGAATTCATGAATGATCTGTACTTTTATCCCATTGATATAAGCACCACCTGTAATATTACACTCTACACGCAGTGAATTTATCTTGAGAATTCTGACTGGTAAATCAGATACATGTGTCTTATTTGGTGCTAGAATTCTATTAGTGAACCCCAATAATCTACCAATCGAATCAGATGGTACGAAATTAATAGTATGATCACTTTTGATTTCACTGCATAAAGTATTGTTATTTGGTTTTAAATCAAAAGACACACCTCTTTTTTGTAGAATCTTTTGCAAATAATTATGTATATCATTGATCTCATAACTACCTGGAGAAATGCTAGTTATATATTTTTTTTTCATTATCAGAATAGTAAAACTTATTCTTCCCCTCATCAATATTTGGAATTGAGTTGAATGTCGTCAATTCAATGAGAACTAAACTATATTGATGATTGGGAGATAAGTCGATGGGTGGTAAATAATTTCCTTCTAAAATTGAGGAGNCTACCTGGAGGAATACTGATTGTATATTTTTGTTCATTATCAGAATAGTAAAACTTATTCTTCCCCTCATCAATATTTGGAATTGAGTTGAATGTCGTCAATTCAATGAGAGCTAAACTATATTGATGATTGGGAGATAACTCGATGGGTGGGAAATAATTTCCTTCTAAAATTGAGGATGTTCCCGATAGTGTTAATGTGAGAGATTCACTCATGACTGTCGCCTTTGAACTAAGTCAATTCACTAATATCATTCATATTTATAGCTTTCCGCCGAGAAATTCGAGGCATAGCTGTTCGCAGATGATTGTATCATACTTTTGATGCGTTTGATGATTGTATTTAACAATGCTATCATCACCGAAGTAATCCATTAGTTCTTTCGATGGATGTAAATTACCAAAACTATCGAAATAAATAATTTCATTATTTCGTTTTCTATAGGCCACCCAGTGTGTGCCGGGGCCATCTCTGTCATCTAAATTGACTATGGCTGATTCATTTTTTCGAGGCCCATTCTTAGGTAATCCATTTCTCATATATACTCCGCGGAAATATGGAATCTTCATGAGTTTAGAAAATTTGATGATATCAGCATCACTGAGGGCTCGATGTGGTAGCTTTATACGTTTTTTGGATTTAAATGGAGTCCTAATCCTGTTCTCCAAGGTTTCAAGTACAATCCTTCTCCCATAGCAATCGTCTCCATCGATTGATTATGACGATTACTCTCCTCAAGGGCGCGTTTGGCCGCGTTCGCATCATTTACTGCTTTTGCAATTCCTGCGGTGCCTCCAGCTAATGCGCCCGTGGCACTTAGACCAGCAAATAAAGGAATCAAGAATGGTAAGACTCCACCAGTTTTTCCTGGAACTGGGAGTACTCGTGGAGATTTTACGAAACGCTTTCCTCCAGCTTTTCGGACAGCATCTCGCGCTGCGTGAAGAGCTCAGTTGACTGCATCTCCGGGATGCATTTGGTGTTTTGCCGCATGGATAATCTGTCTCAAAAGCACTTTTTTCCGAGCAACACCACGACCACATGTTTTCTTCCTTTTCACAACTCCTTTTCCTCGTTTCGTAGTTCGTTTCCTGTTCTTATTCTTTTTCAATCCAACTCCCAGCTTTGTTTTAGCTTTCATAGTATTAGTTACTACCCAAGCAGCAGCTTTTTCCCCAAAACCTGCGTCTTTTGATAATACACGCCCCCACGCTCTCTCTCTTGTAATACGTTATCGGCGTTATGTCTAGCTGCAAGATTTTCGCGATTCTTTGAATATGCGATATCGTACTCCTTACACGCTTTATCTAGAGGATTAATACCAGAATCTCCGCGGGCTAACCTTTCAGACAACTTTGTACCTGGTCCACAATACTGATAACCAGGAATATGAAGCTCGACTGGTAATTTATTGATGATCTTATTGATGAATCCTTTACCACTCTTCTTACGTCCGTTCACTTTCATAGCTCTCACGCAACTAAATGTGGAGGGTATAAATACCTGCTCTTTATATGTTTTCATCTCAGTCCAATAGTGAATGCCATGAGCAATACTAAGCGAAGATGAAATTCAAAGAACAACAAGTAAAATTACCCATTTTAAATTTCGATAAAATAGTACAGAATGATGATAAGATAAAAGGCAGACGTCATAGGGAATTATTACCAAATACCGTACGCGCCATCTTTTGTGGACCGTCAAATTGTGGGAAGACCAAGGCATTATTATCACTCATTACACACCCTAATGGTTTGAGGTTTGAAAATGTGTAACGAGATTTTCTCGTTACGGGTTGAAATCCCCTTAAAAAGATAAGTGAACTCTCAAAATTGTTGAAGAGAGATA